AACTCTATATTTCAGGTTATCACAAGGCCATCGGCAGCAAACAAAAACTTTCCTTTCCACATAAGAACAAATCAGGTAATTTTATTCATAAAAATATTTATGATCATGATCATATCTTATTATATGTGGAAAGCATAGTGGTGAGAGCTCTCGCCTCTCAGCAATGCAACCCGAGTTTGATTCCCCCTGGGCTAGGTGTCATATTTGAGTAGGGTTGTTTGTTGGTTTTATCCTGTGCTTCAGGGGTTTTTCTCTGGGTTTTCCGGTTTTCCTCCCTCCGCAAAAATCAAATTTTAATTCTAATAGGTGTATTTTTTTGATTGTTTTATATGGAATGYGCTACTTTCATAAAATCTTGTGCTCTGATTGGTTTCTTGGCAGGCCGAATTTTCCTGTGTTTGCCCTTGGGCGATGACAGATTTTCTGCTCCCAACCCACCTCCTTTATTTTATTATATGATAAAATTTTTATTAACCTTGCTTGCTTGGTCTTTACAGAAAAATATTAGAACACATTCTTTAATGTGCAGCCCTTGTGTAACAGCTTGGTTAATGCTGTCAAGACCTTGCTCTGATATTTTCCTGTAAAGACCTTGCACTTGGTTTATAATGAGTGTTTAAATTTTTTTTGCTGGACTATTATCCTCTTAACGCTATAAATTTATAATCCACCATTTGTATTAAATCAAGCTGTATCAAAACTCACATACATGTACAGTATAATGACCAATACCCAGTCAATATACTTTAATGTGATGGGTGTTTGTAAGTAAGTTGTCCTTTGGATTTAAATTTGATTTGGGAGCTACCCAGCTACCCGTTCAGCGTAGAAGTTGTTTCAGGGTTTAACATTAATGTTTTAAAATCTGTGATTCTCTAATAAGGTATTTTTGATAATATTTTAGATTGGTATTATAAACAACCTGTCTGGACCAGTACATGGGCCACCTGGTATCCAGTCAGCAATACCATCCTTCAGTTCTTACTCCCCAGCCCACCCCCCAGAATACTCCCAAAACACTGGCAATTTCACAGATATTGCCTCAATGTTCACAGCAAGCAGTTTAACAAAGCCGGTATGTAACGAACACGGAATTTAAAGAATATTTTTTTGTCAAGGCTTTAATGTTTTTACAGACCGACTTTATACACCAACCAAGGCCACGGGCCCTGACAATTTTTCGTACAAATTAGCCAATTACGATTGAGTACTTAAACAATAGACTGTGTACAAATTTTCTTTTTTTTAATCATACCTTTTACATTATATGATTGTTTGTAAGATCAGGTTGAGAAAAAAATTTAAACTCCAGGATTCATGAATTCATCTGTTATTCAGCAACAAACTGTGATTTGTGAATTTGATTGAAAATAATTTCCAGTTATCTCTATCTATAGAACTTTTGATGTACAGTATTTATATTTGATTGCCATTATGTATATATGGTTAACTTTTGTTAATGACACCAGCAGTGTGTGTGTCGAAAAAGTTAACTTGTCTCCATGAACTTTATAAACAAAATAATACACTCAACAATATTACTTGATTCTGACTGGACGAGAGGAGTAAAATTAAATGTTAATTGTACTCTGTAGAGTCCAAATTAAGTTGATCAAGTTTGTGAAGTGTATTATCAACAAAAATTATATCACAGAACCTTCTTGTATGGTTCAGAATTGATAGATACAGTACTCTTGATGTTTTTATCTTATTTATTTTGTTATTTATATTATTATTACTACTCATACATTAAAAAATTTTCCATAGTTAGCTCAATAACTTATAACAATAAGTTTTTGCTCACAAAATAAAATGTAGGACTGATGTAGATGTAGATGTTTTGGAAGTTTTCTTATTTCAATTCCAATTTTGAAGACTTTCACAAATATAACTTGACCTATTGATTCCAAATTGCACTTGAGATCATGTGTTTTCTTTTGCTAATTATCGTTATTATTGGTTGGTTATCTTACCTTGATCCCTTGCATTGTTTGTGATCATTCTAATCCAGGCAGTTTATAGAAATATTTTCTCTGATTATCCAGGCTGCACCAACTCCCCTTGGTATATACAGAAATGGCGTCAACAGCACCAGCAATAATAATGGAGGAAGCTATCCAATGAGGTTGGTTCCATCAGCATCAGACCAGCAATACACTGCATAGGAAAATAATAATTTATCTTCATGTATAGTCTACCTGCAGTCACATATGATTTATGACATTTGAAGACTTCTTTAAACTGTACAGCTCAGTTTTATAACATAAAATAAGGTAAAATTATATACAGGATATTYGTAAAAATATTGATCATATAATTTATCAGTTTGGAATTGTCTTATGACATGCCAGGTCAGCAGTCATCAATTAACTATCATTTGCATAAACCTTTTTGAGGATTTGCCTTATGCCAACATAAACAATTGGTGTAATTCTGAACATCTGTATGTTTTTGGTTTTTCAATTTTAAGGTATTTTGGCAGGAAAATGATGACATGGTGTGACAGTTAAAAAAAAAWGATTTCTCATAAGTGACAATTTTTATGGTGGTTTGTGAAAGCACATTACTAGATTACTTGAATGATAAAAAATTAATCTTATACCTTTTTTCAATCAAAATATTTTGAATCTCGAAGTTTGAATTTTCTGACATTTCATTACTATTTTTAGAAAATCTAAAAAAATCTTAAAGAGCGATATCCCTTCGAGAATTAAGGGGATATTGATAGCTCTTTCAGTTTTCAAACTGGCTCGCCATCTTCTATCTGGTAAGACTCTTATAATTATGAAATATGTAAAATATTTTTTGACCATTATCTTGTGACGTCACTTTTCTGCCAAAAATCGAAATCTAAAAAACCAAAAACAAACAATAGACCCCTTCACGGTTCCCTGTGCCATCTTGAAAGGTAGCCGTGCCTTTGCATCAAAGCAAGACAAACGATGAGCTTGCAATGATAGGGACCTGCGAATAATTGTCCAAGGTGTTAAAAAAAGGTCTCTATCATTGCAAGCTCACCGTTCGTCTTGCTTCGATGCAAAGGCCCGGCTACTTTTCAAGATGGCGCAGGGAACTGTGAAGGAGTCTATTGTTAAGAAACAAAAGATGTATTATCCTGGGAAGTTTGATTAGGATCAGAAAGATCGTCATAACGTTTATTGAAGATGACTATATTTTGCAAATGGACTGTCATCTGGTTACTGTTCTTGTCATAAATACTTGTTAATCACATGTTAATCAAGAAAATTAAGGACAATTAAGGTGATTGACTTAATCAACTGATACAGTACCTTTAAATTATATATAACAGCACAACATGTGAAAGAATGACACTCATTAATGAATGTGCATACTTCTATGCACAGGCTTTTATCATAATGTTAAACTGACACATTTTTTTCTCATTTTAATGAATAAAGTAAAATGCATTAATAATTAAATAATCCATAAATTGTATTTTTGAAAGCATTCATTATTTAATTTTTTAAATATAATAAATTAAATTACATAAAAGTTAATGAATATAAATAATGTACAAGAGTAGAGCCATGTGCTGTTCTCACAGCATCAAGACGAGTTACCCAGAAATGAAAGGTTTAGATATGATAGGCCACTCTGTGAGGAGCAGGGAGGGGAGGAGAAAGGCAGGCTAACTGAGTACAGCTCCATGCTGCTCTATTTCCTCAATTTATTTCCTCGAGTATTTTTTTGCTTAAGACCTAATTTATTATCAGGAGTGCAAAAGTATGACCAGCGATAATATGAATTATGCACCAGCAAAATTAACTGGTTTTACCAAATATACCAACTGTGTGCAAAAGCTTGTTTGGCAGCAAAAAGCATGTGGTCATACTTTCATACTTAACGCAGCTGTAAAATAGAGTAACTTGATTCTTTTTTAAAAATTTTTCATTTGAATGGAATTTTCCTAAAAGATGGTAACTATCTTATAAGTTACTTTGTAAATAGTTTTGAAAGACAGAAAATGGGTTTAGTCTCCTTCGCAGCCATTAATGTTGATCCCAGATACTCCTGGGTCCATTGTTATTGGCTGAGACAATAGTAACATTTGTATTGGCTGACGCAAAACAATAGGGAAAAGAATGTCATAATTGAGTGCATTTGAGCAGCCATTAATAGCAGGCTCTGAAAAGTTCGACACCCATGYGAGGGAGACTATTCCTAGCCTGATCGTTGAAATCTGCATTAATATTTATGAGCGCAAGCTTGACATAATTTAATTGTAGTTCGATGTCTTGAGAACATAACTCCCAAAATTTGAAATGTAAGTTGTCCTAGCTTGAATAGCCATATTGTACTGTACTTAACGCTGTTCATGCCCCAAGGAATTATGGTGTAGAATGGCAGTAAAATGTACATACATGTATATAGTTGTTATCTTGTAAATAGTAGCCCAACCTCAAACTGTTCCCAGATGTGTGAAATAGATTGTGAAAGATTTTGAAATAAAGAATTTTAGTTTACAGCCTGTCTAGCAATAACTTTCTTTAACACTTTTATCCATTTTTGTGAGGAAACATGGGATACCATTGGGAATAGAGAAAAAATTCACAGACACTGGGTTAATTGTCTAGCAATATTTTCCAGCAGCATTTGTATTTTATTCCTTGATTGGATACCATATGGTTAGAATCATGGTAGAAAAATATACAAGATGTGCCCTTTCCCAGTGTAAATAAAGGCTTTCATTGTCCAAATATGGTTTAGTTTTAACTTCCAGTGCACTTTAAAATTTAGATCATGCCATTCCCTTCCCTGTACTATTTCTGAACGCTCGTGTTGTTGGTATTGTTTCATAATTTTCTTGTCAGCCTTTTAAAAAATTCGGAATATACAAAAAAGCTCGCTTGCTGTCCACACCTTTCTGTCAGTTTAAATTTAGACTACTCACCTTTCGTTCTGGTTCTCTAAAAGCATAATTTTTCAGCTAAAAGGGCTAAATTCAGCGAAAAATTAATAGCGAAACATAAGCTCAAGATGGCGGTCACTTCTTCTGGATGTGATCTTGTCGCGCGCGTCGCTCAAATTATTGAACTTCCCGCCTAAAGTACTAAAGAGAATCTACGAAACGATCACCCATAATACGGATTTTAAAATCTCTTACTTTAAAATTTCTGAAAGAAAAACTCAAAAGTCAATTGCATATTAATATCGAAACAACTTTGTAGAGTTTACATTATTTTTACTCATAAAATATTAATTTTAATTTTCGTTTTATAATTTTGAGGGAGATCTTAGTTTAATTCTCCTAAGCTATATTTGTGATGGTCACAGCTGACCGCATTGGACTTCAGCTTCAAACCGCGCAAAAATCAAAGTGAAACTAAAAAAAGTAACACCAAAAAACGTCAAAATTTTATCCTTTGAAATTAATTTTTAAAACCCAGACTTTAAATAAGGTAACGATAATAATTAAGAAAGCCTTTGTGGTTGCTTTCTAAGCGTTAAATTTTCGAAATCTGGATATTTTTTACCACGAAGATCGATAAGGTTAATTGAACCACATCTGGGTGAAGAAGAGAGGTTTGTGGTGAAAAAATATGCCGCTTAATGTCAAGCAGATATCTTATTCTGAGAAATATTTTGATGATAAGTACGAATACAGGTAAGAAAAATACACTTAAGGAAGAATATTTATTCATAGAAGAAGATGTCAGAGTCTACAAATCTTTCAGCCATCCGCCATGTTGGATGTTTACCGAGATTTTAAAGCTTAGCATTTCAAAATTAAGTTTGTTTTTTTACTATTAAAATTTATGTTTCAAGATTAAAAATCTGAAATAGTGGTTAAGTTGAATTAATTTTAGGGAATTTTTCAGGCACAACGTAGAATAATCTATCATTTTTGTCCCCTTTCACTCTCTCTCCCTCCCTCCCCCCTCCCTTGGGGAAGATTTTGAGAAGTGGGATGGAGATTGCGGTTAGACTCATATTAAATTTTCCCCAGTCCAGATCCTTAGTAATAGTGCACTCATCTCTGAGGTCTTGAGTTTGGTTTCCAGCCATTGCATTGAGTTAACTCTCAGTATTTTTGATAATTCTTCAATTTCAGGCATGTGATGTTACCCAGAGACCTAGCGCACCTCGTACCCAATACCCACCTAATGACTGAAAGTGAATGGAGGAATTTAGGAGTGCAACAGTCTCCAGGATGGATACATTATTTGATACATGAACCAGGTACTCAAAAACATCTTTGAACCAAGGAAGTGTTTCATATGGTGACCCTAGCTGGTGTCAGAGGTTCTCTCCCTCCTCCATCTCCCCCCCCCCCCCCCCCCCCCCCCCCCCCCNTAATAAATACGACAAGTCATCTAATAATGTCATATAATTTAAAGTAAGAAGCCGCCTGATTTATTTAGCTCAGGTTTATATTTCATTTTCGTTTTTCAATAATACATTATTTGTAATTAGTTGTAATCGGGGGGGGGGGAGGAGATGACTAGCCATTTTTTACCATTCAATTGCTGCCTTTAATGGGTTTCCTGTGGTATTAACACGAGGTACCCTGTAACAAAATGCCCTTTTAAAAATTCTGAATGCATCTCTGGGAGTACCATTGTTAGCAGAACAATATGAAAATGTGGTGGTTCAAAGTAATCAAACAGGCAAAATGCAATAGGGAAATTTGAAACTACTCTTAAAAAGTGGTAAGGGGGCTCCAAAACTCTTATATGGGAGCTTTAGACCCCGTGAGTCTGATGTCTCTGAGTATAGGGTGTGAAGTAATATTTCAAAGCCGACAATGAGGACTGGACAGGATTTCAAGTCAAAGCAATTAGTTCCAGTGCAAGGCACAGCCGAGGACTGGAACTAATTATGCGGACTTGAAGTCCCGTCCAGTCCAATATTGGAGGCTTTGAAATGACTTCTCATCTCATTAATTATTCGACTTAGAGTAACTGGAACAAAATTAATTCAGTCCTAGGACTGAATTAATTTTGTTCCAGTTACTAGGACTGAATTAATTTTGTTCCAGTTACTAGGACTGAATTAATTTTGTTCCAGTTACTCCAGACTGAATGCATTCCACAGCACTTTACCAGGTTTTAAGTAACATCATGTGACCCAAAAATAGCCCATTGATTGGCTGGTTTACTCATGAATTATTAATGAGCTATGAGAAAGGAGTTTCAGTGAAAAATATGTGACTAACTTTGAAACTGAAAAGAAAATATTCACATTTTCTTTATATTCATTCATTCATTTCAGAACCCCACATACTACTCTTCCGAAGACCTCGTCAAACTACCACAGCTTGATGTTGTCTTGTCGCAATTCCTAGTAATACTATAAAGCTTTGAAACATTTGTACTATTTTTATGCTATTTTATAAAGCATCGAGTGTTTTAAGAAGTTTTAAAGAAAATTGTCTATGCATAATATTTATATGTACAAAATTCAGAGAGAAATAAATGATATTTAGAGTTTTCTAACAGTTGTTACACACTGGATTCAACCTTTGTGGCTAAGCACCAAAGTCAACCAACGAGATGTAAAAGGGTACAAAATGTATAATCTTGGACCCACAATTGATCTTCCCACCCGTAGCCTCACATTCAAGTGCTGAAGAATATATTTAAGTGTGTTAAGAGATTTATTCTCATGAGAATAAATAGCATGGCTGCCGCAAAAAAGTACTCTAAATTAATTTCTGAGGAAATAGCTGTCAATCAAATAGATTGTGTCAGTATGACATAAAGTAAAGAGACTCAGTGGTGTATCGAGGAATTATTTAAAAGAGGTGACTATTACAGGTCTTACCAGGAGTACAAGGAAAAGGAGGGTGGCTTACTAAGCCAATAATACTGAGAAATTGGAGCAAAAGGGGAGGTGGGTAGACCCCTGTAGACTAGAGATCTGGGGCTTTTGTTGGATCAAAAAAAAGGGTAAAATCTGAAATATATACATTTCTTTTATTTTTAAGCGATTCAAAGAACATGCTAATATATTGATGCAATATTCTTAATATTACTTGGACATGGGAAACAACATAGGCTAAAAACATTAATTAGTAATCCACTACAGTACAGTTGAAAAAACCGGTTACTGGGAAGCTATGCCCTTCGAGTACCTCGAAGAAAGCCAATTCGATCAGTGTATGATAGAAAGATGGAAATCTTGAAGCCCATGCACTTCAGTCTTAAGAAACCAAACCATGTAAAACTTTGTCTTTTATAAAGATAACTCCGTTTTTCTGATTATGACGTCACAACCGTGCGACACAAACGCTCCTTTGATGTTTTCAAAGGCGAACTTTGTCAGAAATGTCGAATTTTGAATTACAGACGCACAGTATCTAAAGCTTTTTAAAAAAATTTCATTCCATCTTAAAATCATATATGCTAAATTGCGTTATATATATATATCAATGTATTTTTATTATTATCTCCAGGGCCCGGTTGTACGAAACTTGGATAGCGCTATCCGGCGGATAAATCCTTATCCAGTGGATAAGTCGATGCTGTTATCCAATAAATTTATTCGTTGGATAGCGCTATCCAGGGCCCTGATGATCTGAAATAGTGACGTAGAGATGACGTCACTGCAAAACTTGGGTGTCATGTAGACTTTGAAAAATGACAGGTGAAAAATAAAAACCCGCCCACCATTCAATAAAAATGTAAAACTCATTAGTCATTATGTTGCTGTAATCAAACTATTATTGATGGGTTGCAAGCATTCCCAAGAGAGTGAAAAGACAAAAGCATGGCGGCCATTGTGGTGCCGTTAACAATGGATGCTAACGAGAAATCTTTTGTAAAATGGCACCAACATGGCCGCGATGACGTAACGTGCAATCGAAGAATTAGCAACACGTTATCACTTTTTTCATTTTGTGGCCTGGAAATCTATAATGTTAAGAGGAAAAGTGACATCTCAGTTTTGCAAATTTTCTCAATTCTGATTGTGTAACATTTTCCCTAGGATCAGCTGTCTATTCATAGTCAACTTGAATATGTAAATTATATCCCAGAGGAATTGACGTATTCTCACGGGCTTTATACTAATACAAAAGGGGAAGGACGCCATGAATTAATCACTCTCATTAAACCACCGACGAAGGAGTGTACATCATTTTTTGGTTCGTGAAGCCTTCAACCCAGCTTGCTCAAGTGATGGCTGACAAAGATAATGAGAATTTGATCCGTTCAGCCTTGGAAAAAGTAGCCAATGGAAACCCGGGTGATGCCGCCGGCATCTTTTCTTATCATGACGTCACAATAACGATAGCGCATCACTTAAGCGCTCGATCTCATGACGTCTAGTATCTTTTGATATCATGACGTCACAATAACGACAGCGCGTCACGTAAGTGCTCATATGACGTCATAAACAGTGCTCTAATTATTTAGAAATGGAATGTGACGACAGCAGATGATGAGCGCGGAGGACACCAAGCTGTCCAAAAAGCGCTCCAGGAGCAAACGATCCAAGTCTATCTCCCTGATAGACTATGCTCCCGTCCCTACTGTACCACGTGACCTCAAGGCCAGGGTGTTGTCTCCGACCAGACGACACAATCCACAACCACTGGGACTTCGCTTTCAACCTGGTTTCCATTCTATCACACAGGTGAGCAAGTGGATTCTTTTTGGTTGGGAAAAGTATGGCCTGTATATAGTTCAATGGGAAGCACGTGGCTAATTGCGCTGCTATAGACTTGCCCCAAGTCGACCTCTCTTGTTTCCTGAGGTTTTTTAGATTCGAGCGAAGCGAGAATCTTGCGAGCGCWAAAAAGGGGGCGGCGGACTTTGCGAAAGTCTAGCGCTGCTAATGCGTCGCCTCTCGCCAATGCGGCCCTGTCGGTCTCATTTCGTAAGTGAGTTGAGATGTTTGTTGGTTCAATTCTCTCATGTGCTTCGAGTGTTTTTCTCTGGTTTTCTCCCTCCTCAAAAATCATGATCAACTTCTAAGTTCCAATTTGATTTTCGGGCAGTTTCACGTAGTTGAAGGGAAGTCCTTGGTGTCAGCCCTACGTGCCACACAGTCAAAGATAATGATGATGACGCGTAGTTTCGTGTGATTGTCTTACACTGTGATACAACACATAAAGCTTAATAGATTATATTAGATAGTGTAGATGGCTGTGAAAGTATCAATAAAATTTTTCAACCAATCCCGCGGCAAGAGAGATCACTTGTACGTTATTCAGAAACGATCATAGCACGTTACCGGCTGCAAGTCCATATATTGCAGTTTTCGTATAATTGTGAAAAGTTCACGGCACGCTAACACGGTCGTGACACAGCAAGGGATACGCCAGACAAATCACATTGCACGAGAATTTACTCTCCATCCAATCAAATACCTGGAACACGGCATAAACACGGCGCGGACACAGTCACGCCAAGATCACGGCACTTTTAGACCAATCATATTGCGTGTGAAAAAAATCAGCCAATTAAAATTCTAGAAAGCATCACAGTAACGGCACGTCACGCTTACGGCACTGAGCTTTTCACAGTCATACGAAAACCGCACTAGTACTTTAGTCAAATATTCATATACCAAAGCTCTATGTGCGTGTACATGGTACGACTTACCGTAACATTCTATAAAATAATGGCTTTCCATTGATACCATGAAAATAATCCATTCATGCACTTCTTGGCGTTACCAGCTTATTTTTTTAATTGACCTACATATAACTATTTACTTTTCTATTGCCAGAGTCTTATAATAAAATGTATTTTTTAGCCATATGCCATCTGGAACCCCAACTTCTGCAACACGAGGGCACGCTTTCCAGATCTTCTAGGTCACCTAGGTAAGAAAAATACCCAGACAAGGCAGATCCATTATTTTTAAAAAGGGAGGTTTCAAAATGGCCGCCACCCAGAAAAAGCTTAAAGATTGGCTAGCTTCACGAGAGGGGCTCCAATGTCATTCTACTGAGCGTACAAAATATGATTGATCGACCTATGATAGCCTGCGCTGCATCCGGAATTTTCTGTCGACGGACTTTACGAGTAAACGTTTGGAGGCACGAAGGCTAACCCATGATTGCCATTACAAGATCTTACAAAAGGGGGGCTCGATGGAATCCACGGCACCATCCCTGGATCCGCCACGGATACTTTTTATACCTAAAGGGGAAAAAATGACGGTATTCTAAATAACCTTTGTAATTTTCCACCACAGAACTTACAAATTTTTCCTGTAAATCTCCTCCAATCAGTTTATCGCCATGGGAAGCTGACAGAGGTAGGATCGGAAGGTTTTTCTTAATTATTTTCTTATTCCTTTTGGAATTAGCCCTCTAAAGCTGTCTTTGGTTTCGGGAAACTAGGATTTAGTAAGGCTTACTCCATTTTCATAAATACGCATGCGCAACTGACACATTCGTTTAGCCCCATACGTCTAGCCTTTTGGCTTCCGTACGTCAATTAAGCACGTAAAAACTATTTAAGCAAAACCTTTTGATAGGCTAGTTTGTAATTATAGTAAATAGAAGAAACCATTAGAGTGTCAGTGACGTTGTCGTTATATGAACTCAGCTTTTTTCTTCAATGGTGGAAATTTCCCAAGATTATCATCCATGTATATATTATATAATGGTTCTCCTATTTTTACAGAGGGTCCGCCAACCATACACTACAGTTTAGAATCAACTTCACGCTCCAGTTTCCAAGACCCGAACTCGTTTCCAATGAAAGCAAAATTGGGTAAGCGAAGGCTACCGACGCGCTTCAATAACCGACCAGACGAAGGCCTTACTATTGGATTAGGTAGGTATTATTGCTTAAACACATTATTTTTTTTACTAACGTCTCAAAAATAAAGATTAGAAGCTTAGGATTAAATTCATATTTTTATTTTACAGTGCCCCGTGCACTGCCAAGGGTTCCCGTACGGAGCAATGTAATACATATCAAGCAAGGAATCCGGGTAAAAATGCTTTAAACTATATGCGATAAGATTCTCCCGAGGTGCCTTCTCCCTGAGGTGTGACATCCTTCTACCTGAGGTGTGTCATCCTTCTCCCTGAGGTGTG